AAGTCAAGTATACAGGTTCATCATCCATCTCAGGATTAAGATGACAACATATAATTCGTCAAAAGTGAATTTTTTTATTCAAACAGAATTATTAATTAAAACAATTCAACTTTGGTCCGATCCAATATAGATTTCACCATTAGAAACTATATCAATGTCTCCACCCATGGAGTCCCACCTCCGACGACCAAGACAAGCCATCTCCGTTAGGAAGTAGACAACATAACAATCTTAACATGAATAAAGCGCCCAACTTTATTCCCTCGATTGTGGATCATAAGATTTAGACTATCATCTTTAGATTCTTGTCTTCCGCATGTTCTTCACATTACATGCATGACCTAAAGATTTAGAATGACAGTCTTAGACTTTCAGTTTGCTTATCATACATTCAACTATTATGAACATAAAGAGGACAATTCATAGAAATATAAAATAAACAAATCTTTATTAATAGTCAAAATATCTCAAAGAATATTGTTACATTTATTCCTAAGGGCATAAACGCTAACAGATGTAAATCTACTATCTCTGTCTGAAACTATGGAAGATGGGACTCCATGTAATCTCACTATCTCTTGTATGTATATCTCTATTAGCTTATCAACTATATAAGTTGTTCTCACTGGTAGGAAGTGAGCTGATTTGGTCATTCTATCCACTATGACCTAAATTAAATCATGTCCCTTCACGGTCCTCGGTAACCCTGAAACAAAATCCATGACAATTTGTTCCCACTTCCATTTTGGAATCTCCAGTGGTTGCAATAATCCACCAGGTTTTTGGTGCTCAGCTTTCACTTGTTGGCAAATTAAACATTTAGCAACATACTCCACCACATCTTTCTTCATTCCAGGCCACCAAAAGTAATTTCTCAGGTCTTAATAGATCTTCATTGTACCATGATGTACCGAATACGGCGTATTATGAGCTTCATACAAAATCTGCCGTTTAATTTCTTCATCGTTGGGAACACACAATTAACCTTTAAATCCCAACACACCATCTTCCGAGATTTGAAAATTCAGTCGCCTATCCTTTATGACTTCATGCTTCAATTGTTCAATTAGAGGGTCTAAATGTTGTTTACTTTTAATCTCTTCCCTGATCATCGGTTGCAAAGATAGCATAGATAATTGTCCCACCACAAACTCCATTTCTAATTTATTCAAATCATTTCTCAACAGACCTGGTATTCGAGGCAAAGTAACCAAACTGGCCACTCTCTTCCTACTTAAAGCATCAGCGACTTTATTCGCCTTACCTGGATGGTAATGGATATCACAATCATAATCATTTACAAATTCCAACCATCTTCGTTGCCTCATGTTCAATTCCTTCTGCGTAAAGATGTACTTCAGACTCTTATGGTCTGTGTAGATGTCACAGTGTACTTCATATAGATAGTGTCTCCATATTTTCAACGCAAACACCACAGCGGCTAACTCAAGGTCATGCGTCGGATCATTCTTCTCATAGTCCTTCAATTGCCGAGAAGCATAGGCAATCACCTTTCTATGTTGCATTAATACTGCTCCCAAACCTAGCCCAGAGGCATCACTATATATTACAAATCCTTCACTACCCGAAGGAATAGCCAAAATTGGAGCTGAAGTTAATTGCTTCTTCAATTCTTGAAAGCATTCCTCGCATTTGTTTGTCCACTCAAACTTGACGTTCTTACGAGTGAGTTGAGTCAAAGGTTGCGCAACTCTCGAGAATCCTTCGACGAAGCGTCGGTAATACCCTGCTAATCTGAGAAAACTACGAATTTCAGTGGCATTATTCGGCCTCTTCCATTGACTCACAGCTTCCACCTTAGATGGATCCATTGAAATTCCTTCCCTTGAGACCATATGTCTAAGAAATGACACTTCCTCCAACCAAAACTCACATTTCTTGAACTTGGCGTACAATTTCTTCTCTTGTAACCTTTGTAACACCAATCGCAGGTGTACCTCATGCTCTTGCTTTGTTCACGAATACACTAGTATATCATCAATGAATACGATCACGAATTTATTGAGATATTCTTCAAATACTCTATTCATGAGATCCATGAACGCTGCTGGGGCATTAGTCAATCCAAATGGCATTACCAGAAACTCATAGTGGCCATATCTAGTTCGGAATGCTATCTTGGGAATGTCCTCTTCTTGAACTTTCAACTGATGGTACCCCGATCTCAAGTCAATCTTCGAGAAGACTACCACACCCTGGAGTTGATCAAACAAATCATCAATCCTCGGCAGATGATACTTGTTCTTTATGGTAACCTTATTCAGCTCTCGATAATTAATGCACATCCTCATTGTGCCATCCTTCTTCTTAACGAACAACACCGGTGCTCCCTAAGGTGAATAACTTGGCCTAATAAACTTTTTATCCAACAATTCTTGCAATTGTGTCTTTAATTCCTTCAGTTCCGCTGGGGCCATACGATATGGAGCTTTAGAAATCAGCGTAGTTCCAGGTAATAACTCAATTACAAACTCCAACTCCCGATTTGGTGGCAGACCAGGTAAATCCTCCGGAAAAACATTCAAGAAATCTTGAACCACTCGAACATCTTTAGGCTCAAGCGTTACTTCCCGCATCGTGTCTATAATATTATCTAGATATCCAACACAACCATTAGCTAGCATTTTATAAGCCTTCATAGCTGATATGATTGGTAATTTCTATTTGCGGGAGGTTCCACGGAACTCGAATGCTTCTCTCTCTCCTGGGGCCAATAAGATCACTTTCTTCTTTTTACAGTCTATCACAGCATTATACCATGTTAGCCAGTCCATCCCTAATATAACATCATAATCATACATCTCTAGTATGATTAGATTGGCATACAATTCTCTACCACAAATGACAATAGGCACTGCTCTAAGCCAATATTGAAACTTTAAACTATCTCATGAAGGTTAAAACACTCTACATACCTCCCCTAGCATATCTGGCGTTCTCCCTAACTTTCTAGCAAAGCTCACAGCAATGAAAGAGTGAGATGCACATGAGTCTATTAATGCATATGCAGTAGTATCGACCATTGAGAGCTGACCTGAAACAACTTCAGATGGTCCAGCCTCTGCTTCACCTTGAGTCAAGGTAAACACTCGAGCATTTGTCTTCTGTTGATTTCCACCTCGTCCTCCTCTGCTTCCAAAATTCCCTCTTTGTTGGAAATTCCCTCGGTTGTTAAAGCGAGACCAAGGATTAGAATTGGTATCACACTCCTTGGTCCTTAATTGAGCCTGTCTTTTTTCAACATTTTCCCACATTTCTTACCGAATCGCTCGCTCAACAGCTCCTGTATAGGTGCGTGGCACCATCTCACCAGCATCCACTAACTTTGCCAAATCCGACCTTAGACCTTTCATAAACCTCATTTTTCTCTCATTTTCCATTGTTACCAATTCGGGTGCAAATCTTGACAATTGGTCAAACTTTTGCGTATATTCAATCACGGTAGAATTCCCTTGCTTTAACTCTTGAAACTCGTCCATTTTTGCATCCAGAGTGTTATCGTTGTAGTATTTGGAGTTGAACAGCTCCAAAAATCCCGTCCAGGTCAGAGTATTCACATCTATGATCCTCTTAACAACGTCCCACCAACTTCTCGCATTGTTCTTCATTTGATACACCACACATGCCACTTTTTCCTGATCTATCAACCTCATGAAATCACAATTATTCTCAAGACTACACCTCCATTCTTCGATAATTAATGGATCAGTGTCCCCCTCAAATGTCGGAGGTTGTTGCTTTCTAAATCACTCATACACTGGCTCTCCCACTTGAGCCTCAATCTGATCTCATGCCGGTTGCAGTGGTAGTGGCGGTTGTTGTTGTTGCGGCGGTGGATTCATGTTGGCCTCCATTTGTTCCATGAAGGCATTAAGTCTCTCGTTCTGCTGACGAATTTGCTCCGCTTGCAGCCTTACTGCTTCCTGTAATCCTGCTATCTCATCCACTTCTGCCCCAGCATGAGGCACTTCAGGAGCCTCATTTCTAAGTTCATTACCATCTCCCTGACGAGCTGGTAACGATTGCTCTCGTCGAAGAATCTTACGAGGTCTTCCACGTGCCATTTATTTTAATATACTGGTGTGTGTGTGCGCTATTCCTACATGCACATCATTTATCAAGCATTCACTCTTAGTCAATAATTATTAAATACTCATTTCTTGATCAAAATAGTATTACTCAGAATAACATTATTCTAAACATCTATACAACACCTAGATCGAAGTTCAACACAATACATATTTATCATCCACGATTATTTATAATATATCACAAATTCCATCTCTAAATTCCTAGCTATTCAGTGTCACTATCGGTGAAACTTTCAAGCTTTCTTCTCTCCCAGAGAGAACCTCCCAAGTTTTGGCTAAACTATGTTTCTATTGCAAACCGAAACCTATTCCATTTCATCTCTTTCATTGTTTCATCTTAGGAAATCTCCCACCAAACGGCTGGGTATTCCCTTAAATACATAGCCTCTATCCTTGCCCTAAACTTGTGGGGAATGTTGTGCACACAAAAAATTATGGCCATCTGAGTGGTCCAATTTTCCACTATTATAGTGTTCTCCTCATCTGAGAACGTCAGAGGTTTCGCCACCTTAACCATGTTTCCGTAGTATGTCACTTCACTAGTTGTTATTCGAGATCCACTAGTTACTTCAGTATTTGATTGTCGGCTCGATTGAGCTTCTACTTGTCTATGACTTGGCTCAGATATAAGGCAACTATTTCTTTAACCTATGCACATTAGATTTTCAGGAATCATATACTCATAAACATAAAATTCACGAAATAGACAACTTACAGTGAGCAGTCTTGCCGTCTTCGTGACTTGTACATATGGAGTTGTCTACAAAAATGACTAAACTCTAGCTCTGATACCACCAATTGTGACATCCCTTTTATACCATCTCCTTCCAAGCCTTTCTTACTATTAATCCTAAGGGCGTGCCACAATAACTAACCTTCACCTGTCACTTATGTGAAAACTATGGTGTTTCAATTTTTTTTCCCTAATACTGTAATATGACCCCTAAATACGAAAATTCTTACAATCTTGCCCCCCCAAAGCCTTGCAATTTAATCCTTAAATTCCTTTGTCATTTCTCTTACAATTCCTTCATACAAAATTAATACAAAAGTTTAAGCCCGAAAACCGGGACGTTACAGGTTTGTACGTGGTTAACTAGGCTAGGAAGCTTGTTTTGATATGAATTTCTTAGGGTAGGCTCATTTATATGTTAACTAAATGCCACTAACACAGTTTTTGCAAATTTAATTTGATTTGGGAGTTATAACCTAAAACCCGAGGCTAGTCCAGTTTGTGGTATTGGAATAATTTGTGGTTTCAAGATGTTTTGTGAATTTAAATTTGTTTAAGGTTCAAAACATGTGTTTTATGCTTTAGGGAGTGTTAAAATGAAGGAGAAGCTCTGCCAAAATTTTTAGAAAAAAATTTGACTTAATTTGGATAAAAAATGAGGGAGATAGGCCATATTTTGGTGCTGCCCGTGCACCAAGCCACACCAGGCACACGCCTGGGCCTAGTGGGGGCGCGCTGCAGGCCACACGGGCATGCCCGTGAGCGCACAGGCAGGCCAGGGGTGCCCAGCCAGGTACGCCCTTGGGGCTGCTTGGCCAGGCCACGACCTGACGAGGCCAAATGGCCTAGTCAAGGGTTTTCAGGGCCCCGGAGTCCCTTTTTGGTGCTGTTTCTTGCATCTAAGTCCTGTAAACCCCTATTTTTTTATGCTTGTCACTTAAAATAATTATTTAAAATATTATTTTAATTATTTAAATATTTAAAAAAATTAGTAAAAATTAGGAAAATGAGCTCCTTAATACATAATTGTTAGTGATTGTTGGTCGGGTGATAATGTTAGTTAAAATACTCAATGTTTCAGACGAGTGGAATACTAGATTCCCTGAAAGGATGCCAGAGAGCCTTAATATCAGTTCTAAGGCTCGAGGCAAGTAGAATATCACCTGTGTCACCATAAAAGTCGTGCATATGCTATGTGATTCAAAGTTATGATATGTGAGTATACGAGACATGTGTTATTAATGTTAGCATAACCATGCATACATGACATGATGTAAAGATATGTTGTTGGTAGCCGAATCGAATTCGGATGCGGAAGCATGGCAGGAGGCGGATCGTGTATAACAAAGATTTTCATAAAACCTTTGAGATACTCTATAGATTATATTAATTTATGCACGAATAAATTAATCCCATTAATTCATATATTAAGAAGTCAATTAAGAATAAATACCTAGCGCCGATTAGGTCGATAACTTGAGTTCTTTGACAACGAACGATCCTTGCTCCAAGCTTTGTGTTTAGAAAACTAAAGTCTTCCACATCAATTCCTTGATTCCACGTAGACGTGTGTGTGGGCACACGTGAGACAAAATAGGTTTCAATAACACTCGAATTTCCACAAACACCAATGCATGCACGATGTGGAATTTTTTTTGAGAAAAATTTTTCCTTTCTTTCCCCTATGAGAAATTTCGGCCACACTCAATAATTAGGGCAGAAAATTGTTTTCAAAAATTGTCTACACAATTTTCTATCATTCTCATATTTAAAGAGTAGAAGTCAAACTTCAAAAATGAATCAAATCTCTATCTCATCCCTTAAGTGGTCGGCCATGTAGGGTTTCTATCCCTAGTGTGTGGCGCCAATACTAGATAGGGAAGGAAGAGAAAATCATTCTTTATCCTGTAGTCCAATTTTAATTCAAATTCAAATTCGAATTTAAGTCAAACTTAAATTAATTTAAATTCTAAATTGAACAACTTATTAAATAAGTTTAAAAGGATAAATTTAAATTATGTTCACAATTCAAATTCAAATTTAAATAATCACATTATTTAAATAATAATTAATTCTCAATTAATTATTTTCGAGTGTTTAATTTTAGAATTCCGTAATTCTAAAATTTCTATTTTGCCCCCTATGTCTGGTAGAATTACAAGGACAACGCGAGAACTAATAGACCTATAATCCCGAGCTCCAATAAAATTAATAATTAATTAAACACTTTAATTAATTAATTAATTCTATTAATTC